GTAAATTAAAGACTAATATTGACCTTAGTACAATAAGAAAACCACAGGCCCTGCCAAGGTTTTTCTTGAATGATTCCGCGACCTCCGAAGAATATCCAAAACTTTGGAAAAGTTTTTGGACCGCTCTAAKGGGTAAAACGAACAACCCAAGACTGGCGATTCACAAAAGCTGGACAAAAGGCCCAACCATTTTGGCTCCGGATAATGAGGTCACCTTGGACGCTCTAAGAGAAATTACTCTTGTCTCGGAAATTATTCCGAGAAGGCCACGACTGATCCTGAAAGGCTTGGACAGCAGCCTTACGGATGCAGAAGTCATCCAAGAACTGGTTGAGCGTAACCCGGAATTAGGGCTATCCGAGAATGATGCACAAGGCATCAGGGTGGTCTACCATTCCGGGCCTAAATCAGAGCCAATAAACAACAGTCCTCGAGGTCAGTCCTGAAATTCTTCGAAGAATTGAGGGAAAGAAAGCATATATTGGTGGCATACGAAGTACTTTGAGTCTGAATCACTCAGTCTCACAGTGCTTCGAGTGTCAAAAATACCATGTCGGAACTGCGCTGAAAGCCATGACAGCCGCACATGTAAGAACAAAGATAATTTCAAATGCAGTAATTGCAAAGGCAAGCATAAATCATCAAGTGACAGCTGTCCTGCAAAGACAGCTGCTCTAAAGCGTTTAGCGAAGCGAACTGACTTTGGTCAATCGCTAGGAAATTCTGACGAAGAACAACAATGACTGGCCTGAAGATAATTCAGGTCAACCTAAATAAACAAATGATCGCCTCCGAACAACTGAGGGACATTTGTTTAAAAGACAAAGTAGACATTTTACTTGTCCAAGACCCACTAATTATCAATGGACATGCATCAGGCTTTGAGGGCTGTCGTCAGATTCTGTCTGACGATAATCCTGAAGCTGCCATAATCATAACAAATAATAAAGTAAAAGCCATTAAACTAGGACAATTTACTACTCGCCACGTTGCAGTCGCCAGAATTGGCATTGGCCTCTGTAAGGATGACGTGGTAATAGTGTCAGCCTATTTCAGGTATAATAAGCCCACGACTATGTTCACTGAACTACTAACTAACATCAGTCTAGCAAACAAACGCCTGCTAATCGGTGCCGWCTGCAACGGCCATTCAACTAGATGGCACAATGACGTTACTAATACAAGGGGAAAGATAGTAGAGGAACTGATTGATGATCAGGAACTCCATATTCTAAACACCCCCCAAGACCTAAAAACCTACAAAAGGCATGGAATGGGAGAGTCCAACATTGACATTACACTAGCGAGCACCTCGATCTATAGATCAGTAGGAGGCTGGTCCGTGACTGACCGGACGGATAGTGACCATAGAACATTGGAATACACCTTAAACCTAAAAAGACTAAATAGGAAAATTGAAAAGCCTGGTACAAGGTTCAACACAGAAAAAGCGGACTGGGAAAAGTTTAGACTCACACTCCTGGGTCTAAAGACACAGATCCATGGTGATTCTGTTGATGAAGTTGCCAAAAGCTTAACA